GGACCATGAAGACATCTGCAATACCTCTGCACATCTGTGGGTTGAGGGTCTCCTTCAAACGATCCAGTAGTCTTAAATGATGTCTTCTGATGTCTTCAAATACATCTCTCAATTTCTTCCTGGCAGAAATCAGCAATTTGCCAATTCTTGGGAACAATATGTAAAGCTGTTAACCATAAAGATATAAAACATCAGAACGGTTCGTCTTTAAGACTGTTCTCTTTGCATTTTGTGTTTGTATTATTTATAAAACAGGATAAATGTTTGCATGTATATTTGAAGTCGTAACACACCTTTATTGCAGGTGAACTTAAATGCCTAAGGCCTTTAAATGTGAGATTTACAATTGCTTGAAACTCTGGATCCTCATATTCAAATCTGCTGCCATAAACCATGGAGCAGATTATATTACAGACAGCGTGGTTCAGTGGTTGGCTCGTATCAAATGCTTCACCTGCAACAAAAACAGAAAAACATTTATCATCACGTCAGGCAACGCGTTCAGTTTTTTAAAAGTTGTCTCTCTTCTTGTTACTTTATGATTTCTGACTACCTTTAAACTTCTTCAGTTCTTGAATGACCTTCTGACTTTCCTCAATGATTTTGTCCTCACTTGTTCTCTTCCCCATCCCAAAGTCTTTCAGGTTTGTCAAAGTAAAGCGGCGCGTTTCTTTCCACGTATCGCCATTTGTCCAAGCAATTCCTGTTAGAAACAAACATTCAAAATACAAGTCCAGTCAAGTAACTGTGCTAAGTGACACGATATATTAAAAAAACTAAACAATCTTCATTACCATGATCTAGGTTTAGATCTTTTGCTATTATCGGCACCTCCCTGTCTCCAAACTCTTCTTTGTAGTTAACAAAAGCTTCCTTCACAGTCTGGTATCCCGCCAGGACCACCGTCTTCCTTTGCCCCATGTTGACGGCAAACACAGATCCATATTTCTTGGAAAGCTAAGATGTACAGCGACCAACAAAAAAAACAAAAATCATTACTGATTACAACAAAGTCCATGCTCAATAATCGAGGTATAAAATCCAACATTTTTCAGTCAGGTCATCTTGACAGTTTCTTTTTTTGTGCTGAAACGTTTCGCCTTCGATCCAGAAGGCTTCATCAGTCAAGGAAACACGTAACAAAATGATTCTTCCCCCAACAGCTTACTCCAAAGTGGAACAAACCAGTTCTGCTTGTGATAAGATGGTCTCTTTGGTTTGCCACTGTTAAAGACGGGAGCTGGCCGTGGGCCACCGGACCCGGAACCCCCCTCCAGCCCACGTCTTCCCCCGGCTCGAACCTCCCTCAGAAGTGGCAACTCACAATATCAATAAATAAAGGAAATGTCAATTAAGTTTTATCAATTATATTAAAAAAGGCAGGAAAAGGTTACAATTTACAGCGCTGGACTCTCCCGTCTGTGACACGTTCACAGACCAGGAAGAAGAGCCCCGATGTCCCATTGCCATTACTCATTTACTGGGTCCTAAGACTCCGCCTTCGCAGAAGGGGAGCTCAACCTGTCAGTGTATGAGGGGGCGTGACTAAATGTGATCTCAGTGGATCTTATGTGGTTATGACGTGTTAGGAAATATCAGACAGTGCTTCAAAGGCCTTCTACGTGATGTGGCAAGCAGATTAAACTATTCCTTGACTGATGTTGAAATCCCAGGGAGACTCTCTTTAGAGTTGCTGGCTCAGTTTAACCCAGTCAGAACCGGGCCATAATTTTATTATAATCCCGTCTCTGAGCAGATCAAAACCATAGGACCAGTCTAGATAAGAAATATCCAACATCCTCCTCCATTGTCGGTGCTCTTCCTTGTTGACAGTCTTGTCAAACTGGTTGAAAACAACAAAGTCCATGCTCAATAATCCAGGTATAAAATCCAACATTTTTCAGTCAGGTCATCTGGACAGCAGAACTGGTTTGTTCCACTTTGGAGTAAGCTGTTGGGGGAAGAATCAGTTTTGTTGTGTGTTTCCTTGACTGATGAAGCCTTCTGGATGGAAGGCGAAACATTTCAGAATAAAAAAAGAAACTGTCCAGATGACCTGACTGAAAAATGTTGGATTACTGATTACATTTTTGACCTTTTTCTTTGAGTTCAAGGCAGGCTTAAATCAATGTCTTTGAACGTTACACGTTTTTCCCACCTCTGTGCTCGTTTGGGTTGTAGGAAAAGATGGATCCTGTTCGGACCCGGAGCCAGAGGGGGTTCTGGGTGGCCTATTCAGGTATGCCTGAATGTACACAGACCGTATCCGCCCCCCTCCCCCAAGACAGATTACAACACAGTGTATGTATTGACAGAAGACAGCAGAGGGTGCTGTAGGTGATTAAAGTGGACTTTTATAGGCAGAAAAAACTATTTATTTATGCAAACTTGAGCACAATTTCTCAGAATTTTCTGGTGATGTCACTGTTTAAGTTATTTGTTTTGTATTAAGAAACAACGTATGGTTATTTCAGTCGCTCGGTTACGTAAAGGTTTACTTGTGTATTTATATAAAATAAAAAGACTATTTATTGGAATTAATTTCATTTAAAAGTAAAAACAAATACCAAAACCAACAAACCAACAAAACATTGAGCCTTGTGTTCAGCTCTGTCTAAAAATCTGAAAATGAGACTAAACAAGTTTTTTTCTGACTAAATACATTTTAAGATCAAGCAGAGAGCTGCCCCTAACTCACCTCCACAAAGGTTTTATCAAATCGGTCAAAATCCAGCTCCAGCAGGTTGCCAAGGACAGGAAGGGGTTTTGGTCCTGGTGGACCCTGTCTGTGTTTCTTAGAACGGAAAATAAAGTTAAAGAAGATAAAAATCAGCATAAATAATAAAACTGAGAGTGGAGTGAAAGTGCAGAACCAACAGTTGAACATGTCCATGGCTGAGTACCGAACTTTGTTCTGTACCTGGATAATATACCTCGTCTTAAGCCAAGTTTCTGATTGGCTGAGAGGAGGTTCTCTGCAGACAGAAAGTGGGCGTTTCTAAAGCGCAAACACTGATTGGCTAGCTGCACTTGCTGGCTCTTTAGGTTTTTTTATTATTTAATTTTTTTACGTTTTTAATCAAGAAGTGGTTTATTTTCTTTACATCGCCTGTGTTTATATGAAAATATTTCTAAAATATGAACTTTTTTGCGTTTTTTCCACTGTTTTTTTTTTTTTTAGCTTTTTTAAAATGTATGTATTTTTATTTCAAAACTTTATCAATTTTACAAACAACTGTCTGCCAGGGGAATATTAGCAGGTACAAAAGTATAGAAATAACAATTTGGTGATAAAATGGTACAAAGGGTAAAACATTCTAAAGATACAACACAATATATTTACATGTTATACAGATAAATTCACATGAAGTTTTTCTACAACTGAGATGGTTTTATTGCCTTTTTGTTGTCCAGTCTTTTAACAGCGGTGCTGTAAATGTAAAGTTCTGCTCGACTTGGAGTTTAACCACTTTTTCTTGTGAATGTGGAATTTTCCCAGGAGAAGTAGAAGTTGCGTGAAGTAGATCAAGTCTTTGTCCATATCCTTATTGTCGAAGCATAAAATAATGTCTTTCTCTGTAAGTTGAATTATTTGTCCAGTTTTCTGTTGTATGACTTGTTGCACATCTGTCCAGAACAAGATTGTTTCCTTGTGTAGTTCACAAAACGTACAAGAGTAGTCAATATCAAGTTTAAATTTTTCCAGTGTTTTTTTTAACAGGGTACACATTATGATTGATTTTATATGAAACTTCTTTAACTTTATTTGTTATGCAAATTTTTTCTCCATTCAACCAAACTTGTTTCCAATTAATTTCTCCAAAAGTAGAGGACCAAAAAAAAAAAATCTTCCAGGAGATAAAGTAATCTTCTGCAGACGTGATCTTATAAGTTTGTTGGAACATCTTTTTGCATTATGGGTCTTCTCAGCTGGTCTCTAGATGAACGATCAGGTTTGTTCCTTTGAAGAGTTGCGTCATGGAGTTTGGTAGAGCATCACAAACGACAGGTGTGTTAAATCTGGTCAGAAGTTCAGTGGGTGACAAAATGGTTCCGTTATCATTTAACAGCTGTTGGACCAGCATCGTTCCATTATCCATCCAGTTTTTATAGTGAAGTGACTTATTCTTACACAGAATGTTCCCGTTGTTCCAGGTGTAGCACGTAGTTGGAGAGAAGTTGTGTTTGTAAGTTTCCAAGCCAGGAGAGCCTGTTGGTGACATTTTGATAACTTTATAGGTAACTTTTCAATAATATTTAATAGATTTGAACATAAATTTTAGACTTACGGTATCAAATGCTTTATAGAAGTCAATAACCAGAATAAAGCTGTTGTCAAGTATAAATTCGTTGTAATCAATCATGTCCAATATTGGTCAAATATTGTGACTAATGTTTCTTCCAGGCATAAATCCAGATTGCTCTTTACCAATAATATCATTTAAAACTAATTTCAGTCATTTGGCAAAGATGATTTCAAATATTTTAGCGTAATTATTTAGAAGACTGATTGGTCTCCATTTTCCAATACTCAATTTATCTTTAAGTTTAACCAACCCCTGCTGGAGAGTTGGTTCACCTCTCAGTATTGACTCTATAAACACGATTTTTTTTAAAACGGGGCCTGCTCTTTTGCAAAGTGTTTATAGAATTCACTACTTATGTCGTCACTGCCAGGAGATTTATTATCTTTAAACAACCAAATGTAATCTTGAACTTCTTTTAGATTAATTTCTCTATCACAGGTACTGTTAAAATCATGATCAATCTTGTTGGTATCCAGTTCATGTTCCATTAGAAATGTGTCCATTCTTTCCTCATCTTATAGATTTACCGAATATAAATTTTGACAAAAGTTTGAGACGTAGTTTGAAATAACGTATTTGTTTTCACAAAATACATTGATAATTTTAAGCTTCCCAATAAATGATTGTTCAAAGTTTCTCTTCTCTAGGTGGAAAAAAATATTTGGAGCACTTTTCTCCTTGTTCTAACCACCACATACACACATATACATATATATATATATATATATGTATATATATGTATATTTTTTGTTTATTATTGGAACAACATGGCACACTGCAATAACAACATCTTGATGACTGTCATGCTGGTTAGCTGAGCTGCTGCTGAGAAAGATGGACACAAGAAGAAAATAAAAAGAGAAATTATATTATTTTTTTTAACCCCGTTTTTCATTTTAAGCTCTTTTTATTTAATGTTCTTATATTCAAATGAGGGGGCGGGGTTTTCTCTGTGGGGCGGGTCTGGTCAGGGCCAACGCAGCCCATCTATGAGTTTTATAGGCCGGGCAAATCAATAACTAAATCAAAAATAAAATCAACTATAGCCTCTCACACATTGACCGTGAGACACCTGCATTTCATGACGTGCACACGGCACACGTTGTATTTCTCATGCTAAAACACACGCAGACCCTTTTTTTGAGGAGGAACCAATGTGCAGCACAATGTTTCCGCACAGGTTGGAGCACAGTAGTGGACATGGCTGCAGTGCTGCCGACTTTCTCGCTTTATTTAGGGAGTTTTCAGACTCTAATAGCAACTTTTTTTTTAAGCGACTAGCAACAAATCTAGAGACTTTTTTCTGTTACTGGAAACTTTGGTGATGAAAGAAACTTTGGTGATGAAAGCACGTTCGTCAGCGGACCGTAATCCCCTCCCACTTCCCCCAAGCGACAGCTGTGAGTCTCACAGCAGAGAGGAGACCTGCTCCACTCCGTGTCCACACTGCAAATGAAGCCCTGGATTACAGAGCGGGATGTAAATATATAATGCTCAATTTCATAAGCAAACCTTTGCGTTTCATCTCGGAGTTCTCCGATGTCCTCCATATTGTCGCTTGTCATCCTGACTTTCTGAACACAGTTAATTCATGAATTGAAGGTACTGGACCAAGCAGAGTTTAGTGGGGGAATAGTTTGTTGTGATTGGTCAAAAAAGACTGGAGTACGTCAGTTTCTGCAAAACAGATGCAATATGGCGTCCGAGATGGTGTAGAGGCAGGGCAGCCGGCTCAGGACCCAAAAGTCCAAGGTTCGATCCCTGGTCATTGCATACATCGTGGTGTCTCTGGGCAGCACACCTCATCCCCAAAATGCCCCCAGCGGCTTTCGATGGCTGCCCACTGCACCACCTGGTGGTGGATGGGTTAAATGCAGAGATTAATTTTGCCATTGTATGGAAACATACAGTGCTGACAAAGTGTAACATTATTATTATAAATACGCTAATCCTGACCAGACCCGCCCAAAGAGAAAACCCTGACCCCTCATTTGAATATAAGAACTTGAAATAAAGAGTTTAAAATGAAAAACGGGGCTAAAAAATAAAAGCCCCTGAAATATGTAAAGTAGTTTTACAAAATAAAAGTGTCACAAAATGAAACACCATTATTAAATAACAACTAACTAAATAAAAATAAATCTTGAAATAAATAAAAAATAAATCTTTTGAAATCATCAGTGGATTTAGCAGTTAATTTTAGTAAAATAGAAATATAAATTTTAATAAAATAGAAAATGAAGGATAAATGGCAAAATATATGGGAGGAAGAAAAGAAAACTGGAGAAATGAGAAGTGCAGGGAGGACGAGGAGAGAAGAGACAATTATTTCTCGTCTCAGATTTGGGCATACTGGGTTAAACAGCACTCTTTTTATTTTAGGGTAACATTACATTGTAAACTACTCCATTTCTCTTCCTATCCACACTATAGTAGAACAGCTTAAACTCTGCCTTTATGCTGCTTTTTGCACACATTATACGTCTACCTTCCTTCTCAGCATCATGTCAGCCAGCTCTCAACCTTTCCCTGTCATTGTCCCCACATTTAGAGAGTCCACCTTCAGTCCTACATTCTTGACTTTCCTCTGGGGCCATCGAAGGCAACACCAGCTCCAAACTTCCTGTAAGGCAGGATGGAGCGTGGCTGCTAGCTGTTTCAGCTTCAGAGGGGGACGTGTTTGCGAACTCAGTTTCTAGGGAGTTAAAATATTCCTCGAGCGAACAGTCCCCCCTCGGTTGAAACTCGACCCCCTCAGAGGAAAAGAGCTCACACCGACGCTGCTTCTCCTCAGCCGAAAAAAGTTTACAGGCTGGACAAGAAAAGAGCGGATCCAAAGCTTGCAGAGCGTGGTCAGCTCCCAGGCAGCTTTCAAACACAACGTGAAGGTCCGGTGATAAGATGTAGCCGTCTGGCACGGGGGCACAGACGGACGGGCTTCGATTCCTTAACTGAAGTCATCTCTCTTCTTCTTTTCTTTATATTATTGTTTCGTAGAAGTAGTGTTCTCAGCATTGACTGAAGAAAAACAGGAGTCGAGCTCCAGTCCAGATGCAATTTATAACGGACCGGGTGGGGCCCACACAGCAGGTGGGCGTGGACTGGAAGTTTTCAGTGTTCGGCGCGCTGTGCACGGGTAAACCCAATGGCTGCAGCTTTTAAAGGGCGTAGCTTACACGAAATAGAACAGACGTTACAATAATCCTTTTCAGAAGGTCTGACTCACTCTTTGAAAGCCATCAAAGAAAAACAAATTTGAATCCTTGAAGCTTCATTTTCAAGAAGTTTATTTCGTTCCACAGTAACACAAACAACTGTCAGCTTTTTAATCTGTCCCTCTAAAGAAGAAGACATCAGGTCATCAAGGTCACAATGAGCAAAAACTAAAATAAGAAGTGTTTGAACCCCCAGTCTCCGCCTCAGTGGGTACAGGCCAAGTTTATGAAGTCAAACTGACACAAACCTCCGGGTCAAGGTGGACGCTGGTTAGGGTTAGGGTTAGGGTTAGGGTTAGGGACGCTGACTATCAGCTCAAACAGAAAGCTGCTGACGTTAGAGAAACTGCACCGTCCATAAAATATACTTACCCAGAGACAAAGGTGGCAGGGTTCTTATTCAGACAGAAATATTTCCTAAAACAAATACAATAGGTCTAGATGTTTACCTGAATACTGAACACTTCTTACCACCTGACATCCTGCTGGGAAATAAAAAAAAAAGAAAGAAGTTGCAGAATGCCATGCACTCAAAGTCAAACAGAAATCTAAGACCCAACAAAGTTAAGTCAGGTCCTCTGGATGGTTTTTTTTTGTTTGTTGTTGAAAAGTTTCGTCTTTCATCCAAAAGGATTCTTTCTCTACCTGGATTATTGAGCATGGACTTTTATGGTTGAAACAGTAACTTCAATCCCAGCAGGTCTCCTCTTCACATCAGG